ACCTGGGAGGATGGAGCCCATAAATGAAGGGAACTAAAGTCTCATACAGTAGGCAACTTTCCTCGGAGTATCAGACAATGTATACTCTGAAGGCTAAGAAGAGTCATGTGAGTAACGTCATGTGAGTTCAAGCTGTATAAAGCCACAAAGAAAAGCCACACATGGCAAAAGCGTATTTCTCCACAGAGGCACGTAAAAGAGAACAGCAGCACGCAATAACGAGTCCTCTGAAGGAAACACATTCCCACCCGCTACACCTGGGAGGAGCGGGAAGACACACGCCAAGAACATCCATGTTTTGAAGAAACTCGGGCTGCAGAGAAGGCTCAGCAGTTAAGAGCACTGACTGGCTGCGCTTCTAGAAGCACTGGGTTCAATTCCCAGCACCCACATGTCAGGCAGCTGACAACTGTCTGTAAGTCCTGCTCCACGGGATCCAACACCCTCACACTGACATATTCAGACAAAACACCAATGTACATAACATACAAATAAACAAATCTGTAAAAAGTCACAAGACTCTCGCTTTGTTTTCTCACGAGCACTCAGAATTCTCCTCACGTGACTCGGTTCCTGAATCGTGTTCCGATAGATGAGCAGTGAGGGTGTTAACTTCACTAATAGAATCATAGCCTCATTGGCTAATAAGAGGCATGGTGTACCTTTTAAAGCATATACCTCGTCCTTAACCCCGTCCTCTCTATCCATCCACCTTTCTTCTCTCTCTGCCCACGGTGCTGTGGGGTGAGAAGCCTCACTCCCCAACATGATATTCTGTTCATCCATAGGCTCACAGTACTGGGCCAAAACAAACTCTTGTAATTTGAAAATAAAGAATTAGAAGAGAACACTCCAAGGGTCCCTATAACTGCACATGCTCAAAATGTTAGACATGGGATATGTGCGTGTACAGGTTCCAAATTAAAGGTTACAAATCCTGAGATGAAAACCGCACTAGATACAATTAGTAGCAAACTAGACACTTTCAAAGAAAAGGTTGTTCAGCTTAAAGACAGCCAGAGAAGTTATCAGAAACTGAACACAAATGATATCTTCCACTGGGTCTGGAATTCTAAATAAGTAGAACTCTGTCTACCATTGATAAAACGCTACTGCTCCGGCAGGACCATTTCCAGTGTGAAGTCAGAGCACTCTTTGTTTCTGTCTCCATGTCTCTGGCTGCAGGAGCACACACCAGATGTGAGCCTGTTCTACCTTGACTAGAGGTCAGAGAGTTTGAGCTTATTTTTGCTCCCTCAAAGTTCTTGACAACAGGTGTGGCTACTACAAATGAGAGAGTCTGACGTAGGGTATGGTTAATTAGTATTTTGAGTATAGAGGTGGATTTGCTCCAGATCTGAGAATTCAAGCCTATTCCTTATATCATGTTAATGAACTCTGTTGCCTCTCTTTTGGAGTGAAGTCTATAAGCTTGTGGAAGAATAAACGAGGTGAATTCAGTATTCACTGAATGTCCCTCCCAATGCTGTTGTTTCTGTCTCTTAATTCTCTTATATCTCCGTTTCTTTTGCTTAATAATTCTAATCCTCACACACTTGCCCTGGAATGTACAAGTTTTGACAAAGCTGGTTTTTGACATCTGGCTACTTTTACATTTTTCTATCAGAACCCACGAGAAATTTTCTCATTAGCTGTTTCTGCCATAGTTTTCTCCATGATATTGTACTTGGAATTACTGAGGTTCTTTGGTGTCTGGGGTTACAGATGCCATCAAATTTGAGACACCTAGCTGTATCTAGTGGTATGGGTCTGTAATCCTAGTTTCTTGGAAAACTAAAGCTGGAGCATCGCAAGTTCAAAGTCTGCCTTGGCTACCGAACAAGTCAGATTTAATTTATTTTATGTGGATGAGTGGTCTGCTTGCATATATTTATGTGTGCCTGGTGCCGGCAGAAGTCAGAAGAGGGTGTTGGATCTCCTGGAACTGGAGTTATAGATGGTTGTAAACAACCACATGGAAATCAAACCAGGGTCCTCTAGAAGAGTTACTGAACAAATTAAAGGTGAGTGTGAGTAAAGTAGTGAGATCCTATCTCAAAAAGAAAGCTAAGGATGTAGCTTAGCAACAGAACTCTTGTCTATCGCATGTGAGACCCTGTGTATGATACCTAGCGTCATAACACACACACACACACACACACACACACACACACAGAGAGAGAGAGAGAGAGAGAGAGAGAGAGAGAGAGAGAGAGTGAAATACTTTGATAAACAATAGTAGAAAATAATTATCACCAGCAGACCTGTTGTCCTGTAAAATTCCTAAAGTAATCTAGGGATACAACTCAGTGGTAGAGTTCTTGCCTAATATGTACAATGCCTTGGGTTTGATTTCCTAAAACTGAAAAAAAAATTAAGAAGAAATATTAAAAGGAGCTACAGACATGGGATATTTCTGCTCAGTATTAGGGCACTAAGGATGCACAAATCTCTGGGTCCAATCACCAACTCACAAATGCAAAGCAACCCCTGACCCTCAACATTCAAGAAGGCTAAAAGAAGAATCAAACTACAATGGAACTCCGTGTGTAAATCTATAGTCTATTGGTTCTTGCTATGGAAACACCTTTAAAGCATAATGGTTTAAACAGAAGTCTATGGAATGACACCTTCAACGAGCAGCTCTTCTTTGACCCGGTCAGCTCAGCAGGGTCCAGTCTGAGTGAGGCTTGCTTGCGTGAATGAAACAGTAACGGCACAGTGCAGAATGGTGGTTTCAGAGTCACTCAGAGTAGATGTAGGACTGCAACAGAGAACAGACTTGAGAGGAAAGACAAGGGAGTTCCTTCACTATGAAGTGGTTGGCTGTAGCCTGACAAAGTTACATACTAGATCACCAGTAAACAGCAAAGTCAAAACTAAGTAACCAATGAGGAAAATAGCACACAATCAAAAAATATAGATCCCATTAAACCTAGCAAGGAGGAAAAGAGGAAAGATGAGCAATGAGTAGCTAAACAGAAAACAAACAGTAAGCTGCAAGCCTTTACTCCCAGCACTGCAGAGGCAGAAGCAGCATTAGAAACCCAAGGTCATCCAGGGCTACTTCCCGAATTGAAGGTCAGCCCAAGGTATATGAGATTCTACCTCAAAAAGCAAACAACAACAAAAATCCCCTGAGAGGCAAAGCCAGGAAGATCACTTTAAGTCTGAGGTCAACCTGGTCTCCATAGTGAATTCCAGGCCAACCAGGGCTATGTGGTAAGACCTTGCCTCCAAAAAAGGTGAAGGGTTTTAATTGTATCAATAGTCATGGGACAAGATTTCCACAGTCAGAGCCACTGATTTATCTCTCCAGGAGCCTTCTTCCCACTTTTTTACAGAAGTTCCTTATCAGAGTCACGGTAGCAGAAATCCTCTCCCACTCTGATTGGCCCCCTTGTGCATACTAAGTACTTGCTTTACCACTGAGCCACCCCACCCCTACCCTAGCCATTCTTGCTTCACTGTAGAAACAAAACAAACAAACCTCAAAGCTGCCTGCAGGTGGGAATAGTGGCTGTGTCTATAAACCCAGCACTGGGGAGACAAAGGAAGAAGCAATGAGAGTACAAAACCAGCCTGGGCTACAAAGAAAGTTCCAGACCACCGTGGAATACATAAAAAGGCCTTGTCTCAAAACAAAACCGCAAGTAAAAGTAACATTGCTGTGCTAACTGGAAAGACATATCAACATGCAGCAAACCTACAGCACAGGGGCAGGAAGAAAAAGAAAATGCTGGAGCCAGTTTTAAGGGTGCATGCCTGTAATCCCAGCTCTGGGAGGAGGCAGCAGGATAGGAAGACAAGGTCATTGGGGCTGCATAAACGCTGGCACTGGAGGCCAGCCTGAACTGGAGAAGGCTCTGTCTCAAAACAATAGAGGCAATAAATGAAGGTGAGAACTGAGGAAAAATTGCTCAGTTGCATGGAGAAGCAGAGGCAAGCACAATTCCGCTAAGAGATTGCCTCCTTCAAACTTCTGTTCCACAATGAGGCGCAACACGAAACCATAAACTTACTTAACACATTGAGTGAGTTGATTTTTGTTTTGTTTTCGTTTTGTTCGGGCTTGGGTTTTTTTTGTTTTGTTTGGTTTGGTTTGGTTTGGTTGTAATTCAATCTGTGCAGGTCCCTAGTGAGATCTCTCACTAGGTAGAGGTGATGCAACAGGCTGGGCTCCTGAGCAGGATGTGACACAGAGGCCTTCATTTACCCTCCACTGCTTACTTTCCCCTAGCCCTCTCCCAAGGTTTGGGGGTGGAGTTAGCCGCCAACGACAGACTGACTCTGAGCACCTGGGCTTTCACACTGATCCTCCATTAACAGACATGGCAGAAATGGAGATACTCTGAGAAATGCGACTCTTAATCTGACTATCAGACTATTCAAACAACGGACCCCAAAGACATGAGTATTTCCCTAAGAATCTCATGCTGGGAGAAGGAAAGAGTCCCAGACCAAGGGAGAAGGAGTCTCAGGGATGAGATTTCACCCAGTTCTAACCTGCCAGACTACCTCACAAGACGACAATGATGAGCCAATGTTGGCCGGGCCACACTTTTGACACGGACTGCTTAGATGTTCTTGGCGCTCTAGTTCACCTTTACTCTCACTTCAGAATTCCAAAGTCAAATTTGGCGTGGTTCCCTGGATCCCTTTGTCCCTCTGCCAATGCGGCTGCAACAAATAAATAATTTTCTGCTTTCTACTTTTAACTTGGCTCTTTCGATTTGCTTATTGAGATCGGACTTATGGCACAGGTTGCGACTCATAAATTCCGTAACACTGTGTTACGGTTTGGTCAAGGAGCACACGACTAGGCATCTGTGCGCAAGCGCAGCTGGAGGGGCGGGACAGTCCGCTACCTGGCCCCGCCCCCGGCCCCGCCTCGGGCTTCCACCGCCCAGCCTGCCGGCGTCTGGAAAGGCCACGCCTTAGCCACCCGCGCGCCAGATTGGGCGCCGCCTCCCTCGGCTCGCGCCCCGCCCGGAGTTTACCGCGTCCCCTGCGGCCGGCAGCTCCTCGATCCTTCGTCGTCTCCATCGGCCCAGCGCCAAGCTGTCCATGCGGCTTAGCGTGCCGCCTCTCAGGCCACCCGGAGGCGGGACCACCCTACCACGTGCCTGAAGAAGCCAATGAGGAGGCGCGGGGCGTAGCCTGAGGGGCACAGATTGTGCCCCACCGAGGGCTGCAGGCAGGAGTAGCCGAAACCGGAGTCGCCCACGTCCCTAAGTACGGGGACTCTTTCACCTGCCACAGGTCGACGCCTGGCTGTGACTGGCTTGTATTCGGTTCACAGAGTCAATTCCAAAGGTCGTTTGTTCAGTATCTACAACTTTTGCAACCCTTGGTCCGCGGGAGGCGCGCCCGTCTCTTCTCCCTTGTGATTGGTTACTGCGTCCTGATAGATGGAGCCTCAGACCAATCGGCATGGCTAAAGCTGCGCTGGGCGGTGCCCCGAGAGTTGAGGTCCGGTCCGAAAGCTGCTAGGCTAGTTTTGCTCTGTGGTGCGAGAAAAACGCGAAATTTCGTCTCGACCTTGCGGGCAGCGGCCTGTAGGGTTTTTTTGTTTGTTTGTTTGTTTGTTTGTTTTTGTTTTTTTCTGACTTGTCGTGGCCAGGCCCTGGGAGCAGGAACGGCCACAGGCATGGGGGTGGAGTGCGGCTCCAGGCCCCGGCTATGCGGAAGGTTGCACACCGACTTCTTGAAGACTAGGCCAGCCTCTTCCTCCCTCTGGGCTCCACTGCAAAGCTCTGAACTGTTCTGTAAAGTTCCCAGCCCCCTGTGCTTTATTGACGAGTAAAATAGGGTCAGTACTTTGGCTGTGATTGGTTAGCAGTGAGCACGTGAGCTAGTTTGAATCGGTGAGAAGTAGACAAGGTTGATTGAAGCAGAGTTCTAGGAGATAGGCTGTGGGGTGCCTTTTTCCAGTTCTTGATCAGTGTTAGTTTCAAGGAGCGGGTGACGACAGCATTCACATCACCAGGAGGATCGCTGGTGGCAATGTTTGTGCAAAGTGGGTTTTAACAACACGTTTTCTGAGCTGTATCGCCCCTGGCTACACTCCACACTTCTCTTGTGAGGCACTCTGAGTTTACTGCAGGAAATCATTATGAGTGCATGAAGCTCTCCTTAGGTTGCTGCTGCAGGATCTCCAGGTGGCTCTCTTACCTCTGTTCCTTGTAAGAGACAACAATAGCTACTGATAGGGACTGGGAGATGTTTACCTATTTTAACAAACTTTGCAGGCTGAACATGATGGCATCTGCTTCTAATCCCAGCACTAGGGAGGCAGAGGCAGGTGGATCTCTGTGAGTTCAAGGCCAGCCTGGTCTAAGTAGAGAGTTCCAGGATAGCCAGAGCTGCAAGGAAAGACCCTCCCTCGAATAAATAAATAAATTAATTAAAATGATAATAAAGTACCTGGGCTGCCTCTATTGTAAGCCAAGCCCTCACTAGATCTGATGTCACTCCTCAGTGTTCCTAGCCAGACACTGGCACTGGTCTTGCACAACCTTGTGTCACACGCCCTTCCCACCAGCTGTGGTTTAGGAATTCAGAATCTTGAGTTTTTTAAAGAGGCTGGGCGGTGTTTCTCTGGGGTTGGAGTTCTTGCTTAGTGTAGCAATCAGCATTCTCCAAAGGAACAGACTAGTTAGAAGGAAATTTTAAAGGGGAGAAAGGGAGGACTGGGAGTCAAAGGTCATCATCCCAGTGAGTTGGAGGCTCTTCTGAACTACTAGAAACTGTCTCAACAACAAAACACAGGACTGGGCTTGTGGTGTCCACCTTTAACCCCAGCATTTGGGGTGCAGAGACAGGCAGATCTCTTCTTCTGCATAGGGAATTCCAGCCAGCCAGGATTATTACATAAGAAAGACACAATTTTGAAAAACAGAACAAAATTCATGGGCTGGAGAGATGACTTATTGCCTAAGAGTATCATGCAGAGTGCATGAGTTCAGTTCCCAGCACCTATGTCAGCTGACTCACAACTGCCTATAACTCCAGCTCCTGGGGATCCAGTGTCTTGGGCCGCCACTCACATACACACCCCCTCAAAAAATGCAGAGTTAGGAACAATAAAAATAAGCCTTTATATTTAAAAGGAAGAAAGCAGCAACAACGAGAGAATGCCAAATTGTTCAAGATTCCCTTTCTCTTTTTTATTTTTTATTTATTCTTTGTGTCTTTCACATCATGTCTCCCAATCCCACCCATCTCCCTCCCCACCTCAAAATAAAACAAAATTTAAGAGAAAAAGAGGGGGAAAAAGGAAGAAGGGGGAAATCTTGTCATGGAAGCTACAGTATGACACAGTGAGTCACACAGTAAACCCCTTTATCCATATATTTTTACTGGGCCCTCACTGGGACTCTTCCTGGACATTCCATTGCTGCCCTGTATTGTGGAGCTCTTGCAGCCCCGTGTCCACAGATCTGACTCCATCCCAGCCCCCACCCCTGTGCTCCAGAAGGTCACAGATGGGGTGGATGTCGGAGTCTGCCAACACATAACCCTGGTTCTGGGTCTGAGTACCTGCAGGGTTGGTCAGCACACCAGCTCTCCCCTGTCTTTGCCACCAGGGTGATCTCTCCAGGACTGCCCTGACTAGTTAACCCCTTGCATCAATGAGCAAGAGGTGGAGTTTGTTCTCCAGCTTTTACATCCTCTGGGTTGGTTCTCCCATACCCACACCTTAAGGGTCAGCTCTACTGTGTTGCCCAGATAGGGTGTTGGGGCCACTCTCTCGAGTGCTGCAGCTTATGAGTGGCAAGGCCTCAGGTGTTGATGGGAGGGATGGCATCTCTCCCCTACCCATTTCTTCACAAGACAGCGGAGCAGTGGGAATAGCTCTCCCATGCTCACAGCTCCCCCACACCTCCACCAACAGGGTTAACTCTCTTGAACTGCCCAGGTGAGGTACAGGGCCTGCTCTCCCAAGTGTTACAGATGGTGGCGGGGAGGGCAAGAACAACTTTCCCAATGTTGTGACCTCAGGGCCAGCTCTCCCACCTGTCTCAGGGGTTGATGTGGGTGGGGGACGGTAGACATCTCTCCCCAGCCCATGCTGCCTCAAGACTCAAGATCCCTTTCTTATAGGAGTGTGAATGAAATCTCATCAGCTCAGAGCTATCTGACTCCCTGATGACCTCTCAGAGGGTCAGGTCAGGTCTTACAAATAAGTGACATAAGTGTCTCGGGTCCTGGACTCCTTTAGGAACAGTTCCATTTTGAGCCTGCCAGGTATCAGTGGCAAACACCTTTAATCCCAGCACTCGGGAGGCAGAGACAGGTGGATCTCTGTGAGTTTGAGGCCAGCCTGGTCTATAGAGCGAGGACAGGCTCCAAAGCAACAGAGAAACCCTGTCTCGAAAAAAAAAAAAGAAAAGAAAAGAAAAAAAAAGATGCTTGAGCCAACTCCGAAACCATTTCTCCACATCCAAACTCCATACACTAGCTACAACAGCGGGTTTATATAGAAAGGCTGGAGTTGTTGCTCAGCAATTGCACAGGTTTGGTCCCCAGTGCTGTTAAAAAGAAAGGAAGATGGACTTCAGCTCAGATAGTTACAAAACACTGGTCATCTTAGACATGTATTAGAGCTCTCCTATTACTTAGTTAAACTCTCTCTTAAACTTTCGTGTTTGGTGTTGGTGTAGGCTCCAAAGCTACAGAGAAACCCTGTCTCAAAAAACAAAATACTAAAAAACAAAACTTGCTCCCACTGCCACCCACATTTTTACTGTCTCTGTAAGTTAGTGCGTGTGCGTGGCTTGGTACAGGGCCTCACTATGGAGTCCTGGCTGGCCTCAAACTCACAGTGATCCTCCTGTCTCTACCTCGTTAAGTGTAGACATTACAGTTGTACACCATCATGCCAGGCTATCTGTAAGTCTGACCAGACTCGGTACCAGACATAAGTGGAGTCAAGAGTTATCTGGATCTTTGTAGTGGCTCTGCTGGGTATGAATAAATTTGAGATCATCAGCGCTGTAGCGCGTGTTGACACTCCCTCCTCCCTGAGGCAGAACCACACTGCGGGTCAATTACAAGGCATGTATGCTTTCATCCATTACTGGGTAACTGGCTTGCTTCCATGTTTTGTTTTTTCCATTTTGTGGGAAAATGCCGCTAGAAACATGGGTGCCCCCTGCTTCAGTTACCTGATGTATAGTTCTAGAAAAACAAAAACTGCTGGCTCGTGGGTAACTGATCTTTCTTTCTTTTGGAAACACAATTTCTGGTTGCAGCTGCAGTGTTTTCTGTTCCCACCAACCACACATGAAAGTTTCCATTTCTTCATTTGTCATCTAACACTTGGCACTCTTGCAGGCAGCCACCCTAATGGCAGTAATGCTATATATCCAAATGGTTTTCCTTTCATTCCCTAATAACTAACAAAGCTGATCGTCTCATGTGCTTGCTGGCCATCTGTATATCTTCTTTGGAAAAAATATCTATCCATCCAAGGTCTTTGTTTTCATTTAAATTTCTATGTCTGAATGTTTGTATATGTATTTATTTATTTATTATTATTATATGTGTATGAATCGGGTGAGTGTCCCCACAAATGTGTGGAAGTCAGAGGACTACTTTCAGTATTAGCTTCTCTACTTCTACCACGGCTGCTGGAAATCCAGTTCAGGTCTTCAGTCTTAGACAGCAACTACTTTCACCCACTGAGATATCTTGCGTGTGTGTGTGTGTGTGTGTGTGTGTGTGTGTGTGTGTGTGTGTGTGAAAACTTGCATACAGCTCCCTTGCAAAGTCACCCCAAATTCCAGTGACTTTTTTGGAAAAAGGGTTGCCACCTCTGCCCTTCCTACTGCGAGGTGAAAGATAACATGTTTATTGTCTACTAGCTAGCGTGGAGTCTGGCTTGCGGTGGGCATTTAATAATGTTCTCACCCTCTCTCTTCTCTCAGTTCTTCTTTGGTGTTCAGTATAAAGTTATTTTACCTTGGAGCTTGCAGTTTCTAGAGATATGACGGTGACACCATATTTCCTGAGCACGTCTCCCTTCTCTACTCGGCACCTGATCTTCTCCATCATTTTTTACGTTTTAATTGAATGTCCCTTCCTCAGAGGAGCTGTCTATGTCTGACTACCTAACCTACAGCAGCCACACTGGTCCTCTGAGTGGCCCCATCTCGGCTCTCTGATACTGGTCATCGTGCAGTAGTTTTCCTATTTAATGATTGAGGGTCCTGTGTCCTTAATCCCCCTCATTTCCCAGACTGATTGTTTCCCATTGG